GGTCCGATGAGCCGAACTGGAGACCACGGCCTGTTTCATTGGCCCCCCTGCGCTGGTAAGGAATAGCTCTGCGCCAATGAGGGCCCCTTCGTCTATATGGGACCAGCCACTCCGATCAGAGGGCCTCCCACGTCCGGGAAGGAGCCGATGCATGATGCATCGCCCTGAGGGCCTCCGGATCGATCAGGAGTCATGGTCCGCCCTGTTGTTAGAATGACAGCCGCTGGGTATCCCGGCCTGGGATGGAGATACCCTTCGGCCACTGCATTAGGGAGGTAATGTGTCCCATAGTGTTCTTTCTACGAGGCCCCTGCCCGTGAAAGATAAGGGAAATGAATTGGTTAACACTGGTCAGCAGGTTATATTAACATAACAAACACATCTTTTATGAGGACGTCCATCCTTTTTTGGAATCGACTGGTGAAATAGCTAAATAGAGCGGTTTTGAGCATTGCCGCAAAAGAGCTCAGTAAACCATTACAAAGCAAATAGGACCAGAGCTTTTTTCGGTGCAGCCTTTTAATGCCTGGCTTTGTCATCTTAGTGACGTCTAAATACGCACGTCTAAATGCGTCGCGCCAAGGTGACTTGTCGCTTCGGCTTCGGTTAAAAAGGAAAAAAATAAAGATAACGAAACAGCTTGGGCTTCTTAAAAGTCAAAGGAGCCATATCCGATTCCTTTAGGAAGCCCCTTGACCAGTAGCCAGCCCTTCCTCACCCCAATGCCCCCTACCCCCCCCCCCTTTTTAAGGACTGGCTGTGCTCTTGGCTCCGCCGTCCCCTCTCCCACGCCCACGGCCATCAGTGACGCTCGCTCTCGGGGCTGAGACGACGGCCGCGGCTCAGGGCGCCGTTGCCCCCCCCCCCCTCTCACCCCATCTCCTCCCCCCCGCTTCGCCGTACAGAGCGACGGGCCGCCGACCTGGCGACAGCTTAACGACAAATATCCACGGCCGACGCGGCTGACATCTCCGTCCCCTCCGTCGACACGTCCGACTCAGCTCCGCGGGATTGGGCTAAACCCGGCTCGTCCTTGGGACCGGCTCAGTCGCACTCCCAGGACGAGTCCGAGCAGTTGCCGCCTCCCGGCCCAACCCCTCTCGCCTCGTCGGGACCTTCAGCGCCATCTTATTGTGCCGTTGCCTGGGAGACGAAGCTGGAGTGCCGCTCTGCCGTCCTGGTCAGACACGGCCGGAGACGGTCTACAGCTGCCGCTGGCGGAGTGCAGGATTTCGAGCCGACACACTCGGGTCCGGGCAGGAACACACCGCGCCTGCACGCTGTAGATCAGCGAGTGAACAGCTCATACCCCGGCCCGTCTCCGTTCACACACACACACGTCTCTGGCCCACACCGCTCCGGGATCCTGTGCCTGGCGACCTGTGACTGGGCCTACGTGACGCTCTCTGGTCAGAGACGTCGTATACAGATCTCTTTCGGGGCTCGCCGGCTGGGCATGCGTGTCACAGGTACGAGTCCAGCGTACGCCGTCGTCAGATGATGGTGACAGATCTGCGCCTGGCACTCTCCTGCTGGAGGTACCGGCTGCTGGAGGCACAGGCACTCCCCGACTGGAGACGTCGATCACGGGTGCGCGTCGGCGGAGTGCCCGAGACCCTTGTCTGTCGGCCGCTGTTCCAGCTCGAGCCGAGTCGAGCAGCGGCGAGGGACGGTGCCAGGTGTGCGCCCCTCCGTGGAGGTGCCAGCGACGGACCCCACTGGAGCTGAGCGACGGACCTCGCCGTCTGCGCCGCAGTCCGCCCAGCCGCCATCGCCGCTCGACAGCAGGGAATACAGAGCTCCGCCCCGCTGGTACAGCGCAACTGCTGGTGCCAGTTGCAATACCGTGCGGACGGGGCATTGGTGCCTGGTGCCAGCGGCGTCTCCTCGGGTGGGTTAGGTGGGTTCAGATGGCGTCTCAGGTGGGTTCAAAGTTTCGAGTTTTCTTTTTTCGGTCCTCACCCACTCCCATTGGACCCCAGACAGAAACATTTTGTTGCCGACGTTGTCAGATGTTCTAATATTTCATTTGTAACTCTCATCGTGATGGGGGGTCAACACAACCCCCCCCCCCCTCCTTAAGCCTACTGACAATACCCCCCCGGCATGTCCTAAAATGGCGTCAAGTCTTCGGTAGCCTCCGCGTTACCCATTGCGCGTGATATGACAACGAAAACGCGTCCCTTGCATTTCTGGCTTCTGAGAAGCGAAAGTTTTTGAGGAGCTCCGCAAGGCCATCCACGGACCGCCCGCGCGGCGGACGGCAACCGGCGATTTTGCGGCCGTACGCGCCGGGCCGATGCTGTTCACGGAGCCTTACACCACGAATGTTTGCTCAATTGAAAATTAAACACGACACACACCTATTAAATTCCACGTCACCACGGGGCATGGTTTCAGCATATCATATATATCAGCATGCAAAGCTGAAACGGTAGGATTTTCAGGAATATTTCATCTTTGACCTGGCAAAGCGAGGCTATAAACCTAGCAGCAAAAAACTTATTACCAATCGCGAATTCTCGTTGAGACCAATCCGCCGGTTTCTTCCGCTGGGCTCTATCTTAGCTTGGAAACGGCAAAAGGACGCCCCTCATCAGTCCGCACTAGGAAAAGTGGCGAATCAGGGCGAGTATTCAGCCAGCTCCTAAGTAACGAAACGGTAACGGTCGGTGACACAGATTTGCTTGCATAACAGCGCTTCTGCTGGACGAGACGCGCGGCAACCTCAACTGACATGAGTCTGACAATGCCCGGCTTATCCTTGGCAGTCACGGGGCCAGCCGTGCCGGCGTGATCAGCTCTGGAGGCGTGCGTGCCCACCGACCGCGCCAGACGAAAGGTCAGCCGCAGGCAACCGCGAGGTCACGTGCATCTTTCATCATAAAAATCGATGTATCGTTTTGGAGCAGCACGGTCCAACAGTGCCGGCTGTCACGGAATGGTAGCCCTTGATTACACGCTTAATTTCGGGTCGTGGCAAACCCCTTCCCGTCATTGACTTCTCACCTAAAACCAAGTGCTGGCGACCGACCCCTTCCTGTCAGTGATCTCTAACCTGGTGCCAAGCGGTGGCGACCGAATGCTTCCCGCCAGTGACCTCTGACCTGGCGCCAAGCAGTGGAGACCGACTGCTTCCCGTCAGTGACCTATGACCTGGCGCCAAGAGGTGGCGACCGACTCCCCGCCAGTGATTTTGAACCTGGCTCAACGCCGTGACGACAGACCTGTCCCCAGCAGCGACTTCTAACTTGGCCCAAGGCCGTGGCAGCCAACCCATCCTCATCAGGGCGATTTTTTCACTCGGCCAAAATATCGACTGCAGATAGAATTTAGTAGACACCGAAGACTACTTTGAGCCTGTGGCTACGTCAAACGAAATTAACGGGAAGTGACATAGGACTGCAATAATTTTCAATGGGTGGGGCGTACAACAGACGAATTTAGTCAATGGGTAGAGAACAAAACTTAACGTTTCCAAGTTTCAGCACACAAATCTGATCAGAATAAATTTGTAATACACTAAATCAAATCTGATCAGAATAAATTTACGCACTGTGTTGGTCGGGTGGTCTTGCTCCCCTTTTGAGCTTCTATACAATGAGTTAAAATGCACTTGTCAGTCCCATGACTCGTGCAGTCCCATTACGTTGGCATCTACCTGATATTTCTGCTTCAGTAGAGAACACACGTTATTCCAGCCGATTAAGCTTATGTTCACAGTTGCAATTTACAGCAGTCATTTACAGCTGGAAGCTATAATGGAAACGCATGTTGTCAGAGCGTTTTGACTGCCATTTGAGATGACGCAACGTCGTCAGCACAATTTATCAGACCTCAGAAAACATAAACACCCAGCGTTGTAATGACACCGCGCAAGGCGACGCGATGATAGGTTGTTATGTACTGTCACGGACTCCACTAAAGCACGTTTCACCGTATAACAAAAGGGCCTCCTGAACGTGCACATCGGTATGACGGCCGGTGATTGTTGGAATCCAGCAATGCCCGTATGTTACTTACATCGGTCGCCCGTTGGAAACACAATTACAGCACCATCAAAGGCCTCGAGGGCTGCATTATTCACATGCAATGAGAGTAGCAGTCAATCTCTAACGCAGCTTGCACATCATGCTATGTGCAGTAACTACCCCTCCTTGGATGAGATCGGTTTGTTTCCCGCATGTCCGGAGTTTGGGCTGGAGTCCATATATTTCAGAGAGATTCCCTATTGTAATTGGAGGCCAAAAAGATACTGGAGAGGGGCATAACAGTGTATACCGCGACGGACCAGGACTTAAGCAGTGAACATATCGGCAACGAATAAATCTTATTCGTTGCCGATATGTATAAATCTTACTCTTAGCCGCGGAGAGATGCCCGGAGCTAAGAGTTCGGTGGCCTCGCAGCCTGGCCAGCGTTTTGCCGACGACCTGATGCGAGACTCATCGGCGGAGATCATCGACATGTGTCAGCGAGTTTCTCCCGCTACGGCTGTTTAAGATAAACCGATGTCAAGTATACCCTTGGACGCCTCCCGTTCTCTAGAGAGTTTATCACTGTTTATCGAATGTTTTTGGAAGCCTACTGATTGGGTTCGTTGTAAAATATCGACGTAGTTTTCAGTCGTTGTAATGTGAGTTTGCCCTTCAGCTTTTCGTAACCGCGGGCGTCAGGTGTCCTTTCCACCCGCAGCAGTCTGTCTCGCCCTCCAAGACCGCATCGCATCGTGCGCTATATCAGTAGGTATCTTGATATCGTGTGCCCCAATTTGACGACAAAAAGCAAATTACACATGACGTGTTGTGCAGCCGTAAAGCACAATAGCATGATCGCACAAAGCAATGCATGCGTCAGGACATTTGGTTTATGGATCCGTATAGTGCAGACCCCAGTGCTAAGGCTGACCTAGTTTCATCGGGCGGCGCCGGCCGTACGTCCGGGCCGCGTCAGCCTCGGGGCCCGGGAGGCACGGGCCGAGACCAGGACAGTCAGCTCACCGTCTAATATCAGGAGACGCCACAGCCGGCGACGAGTCGGCGGCGGCCGACAGTCGCCCCGTACCGCTGGCGTTGGTACAGGCTGACTCCGACCGCCGCGCGCGCGCTCCCCACACCTCCCGCACGCGCCGCCTCTGCGCCGACACTGGCTGGCGTCGGCGTCAGCGTCGGCGCCGACGCCGCGCAGCGTCAATCGACGCGCCGGTCGGTGACGCGGCGGCGACGGCGGCGACGACGCGACAGGGACGCCACCTGACAGCGGCTGGGCGGCGGCGGGCGCCATCTGACGCCCCCCCCCCCCCCGTATCGTACACGCTGATCTGCCCCCCCCCCCGCCCCAGACCAGCGTGGTGGTCGCAGCTGAGTGACGCGTGTGCCAATGCAGGTGGGACGTCTTTGCCACAAACCTGACTTCTCAGGCAGGCAGGCTTTTCCTCGATCGACTGCTGTCCGGGAGGCGGCAGTGACTGGAGAGTCTCCGGGTCACGGGGTAAGCGCCGCGCATGATCGCACCACGGGGCTTGCGGCGCTCTCTCTCGCCTCTTATGGAGGCTCGGGTCCGATTACTCGTCACCAGCGCACGGCCTCGCTCTGTGCCACCGGAGCTGTTTCGGATCAGCTGGGTCCGAAAATCGGGATAGGCCCACTGTAGCACGCGTACTCTGGCAAGCTTACGGACAGTTCTCGAGAGGTTTAGAGGGAGCAGAAAATGAAACCTCTGCCGCTCGCATACGGGGCATTGCGCACTTCTGGCGATTCAGGTGCTACACCAATACAACGGGCATAGGTCCGTACAAAATTGATCATGAAAGTAACAGTCTAAGATATATACATCCACGAATGCATCCATGCATGCACCTGTGCTGATGCTCGGGCAAGTTCTTTTCAGTTCACCTCTCAGCTGAGACACAGTCAGCTGGCCAGACGCATGGCCTCAGCTACATGTAGGGCGTGGGGGAGGGGGCACGCCTTCCATATTTTCCGGCAGGTTTAATTAAAAATGTCGATTCCCCACATTTAATTCCTAGCGGAGCCAATGTTTCATTCTCGTACACGTGGTTTGTCCTAAGGACATTTCCTCATTGTTCCGGGGAATGAGCGTATTTCTGCAGAAAATGATGTCGGATTAAGAGACCTTTAATTCACACCTCAAAATTTAAAACAAAACAAAATATTCCGCCGATTCCAAGGTAGGCGTATCACCGTGAACAATCGACCGGACAATCGGCCGTCTGCAGCGGACTCAGCTGGCGCGCCGCCGGACCGCCGGCGGACCCATCTAGAGCGCCTTACGTTGTCGCCTTATGATTTGGCGGATGTGGAACCAATGACGACTGCCGCTGTCGCTGACGACGTTTTCCATTCAACTGGCAGGCAAATACCATCGCAGTTACGATTGTGCAGGTGATTGTGATTGTGTGGCAGATACACTTTCCGCTATTGAGGGGAACGCGTGTCAACTTCCATCTGGGTCACCCTGTACTATCCAAGTGGCTATATATTTCAGACTATTGTTCTTTTTCCAAATCCAGGTGCTGCCATGAGTAAAATTTGACAAACGTTTGCAGAATGGCCTACCATATGAAGGAGTTGGCAGGACAAAGTTAGGCTACTGGTTTTGCACGAGCGGCGCGAAAAAGCAACCCCGATAAAAACCGGCGAGCGGCCTCTTGGAACTATCGGCTCATCTATGCAACCGCGCGTCGGAGCGACGGGAAATCGAAACCTTTCGACAAACAATTCAACAGGGAATGGCGTGATGTCACGTGTGACGCTGCATGTGCCACTTGTCACGTGTCACGTGCACAGTGGCGGTGAAGACAGATTTTCCCGTTTTCGGGCGTTTGTCACGTTTTACGCCGCCGCTCGGCGACCCCAGCCGACGGAGACGCGAATCCAATTTCAAAACGTCGACCCGTGTACCGGCTACATTTCACGTGCTCAACACGAGGATGTGCTACGCACCGTTGCGCCGACAACTGACGTGCAAGCCGGACATATCGGGATTTGGAAGGACGGGGCCAAGTGCAACACGCTGTCGTCGAAACCGTCGCCACAATGGCGGCGAAACTTAGATCACGGCATGCATCCATTTATTGGCTGCAATCACCACCCATGTTTTAATTTCTATATGCGCTTTTTTCCTTTAAATGGCAAGTCTACCTAAAGGACTACAATATCGCTTTTTCGCGACGCCGAAATGCCACTGGTACGATCGCCCAGTCGCCGCCGCCGAGTAATTCAAGTACAAACACTGGCAAACGCACATGCCTATTCATCTCCCTAGCACTCGCCTGGTCCGGGAGCAGTAAGTGAAGTCGCCGCGCTGTGATCGCCAACGGTCAGCGGTATTCCATTCACTTTCCGTTCCTTCTTTCGGTGTGGGCGGAAGGGTCGAAAGAGAATCTGGTGTAAGAGTCGTCCCACAGAGGGAGGACGGCGCATGCAGAGGGACAGGAGGAGCAGCCGCACTGCAGCTAGAGGATGGATCAGGAGAAAGAGCAGCAGTGGCGAGAGACGACGTGCCATGATGAGTTTCGTGCCGGTGAGGTCAGCGGGTGGCGCGTGTAGGGGAGCTATTAGGGTCAAAGAGGGTTGAATACGGATTCGGCCAAAGGCCGACAGGCCTTACTTGCTAGTTTCTATCCATATTCACTTGCTGTTGAATACATTCAAGGAATTACGCATATATATATATATATATATATATATATATATATATATATATACAGTATGACCAGAGTACGCCTATGAGTGACAAGCAGCAAATGACTTGTACCAATCACGTTATAGGTAGGTAGCTACGTCAGACACGTGAATAATGCATTTCAACCCAAGGTCTTGAGACACATTGACATACAAACCCCTTCAAAGACTTGGTATGTGGACATGATTTCATGGTTTCGAAGCGAAGCAAACTCCAGCTGCCCCGTGCTTCACCAGCACAGTTACTCCAGCTGTCCCGTGCGTCACCAGCACATTTACTCCAGCTGTCCCGTGCGTCGCCAGTTCACACGCAGACCACCGGGTGAAGAACGAGTCGTGCCTACAAGGCAGCTGAACTGGCATCCCTACAGTCGGAAGGGTCATATGTTGCCGCTGCAACAGCAAAGGGGAGAAGAGACGTAACTTGAAAAAGCCAGCCTGTATCTGCGAGCGCTGCATGCTCCAGCAAGAATGGGGCAGCCAATTCAATTGAATGGAGTTCATTACTGCAGCTGATACCAAGACTGCAGAATGTCATTAATGATACCAAGAATGCCATTACTGCAGCCCTCCGAGTGGACACTGCTGCATGTCCTGTTCAATCCCGGGTATGAATCTCGCGCGCCGGGCGTCCAGGGCTGCCCGCATGTGCCCCTGCCGACACACGGCTTCGGCGCCAAACCGATGCTTGTGAAGGGAACCCCGCCTGCTTCTGTGCTGCGTTCAAAGACCCCAACGACTCCACAGCATCGCGCTTCGTCCAGCACCCAGCCGCGTCTCCGGTATAAACAGTTCGTGGCGCTTCCCTCTCAGCGAAGGTTACCCGCGCCGCATCATCCTGAAGCCCGGTGCCGTACCAGCGGCCGACAGGCTCAGCCGACCAGAGAGTATCGGCTGTCCGACGCGGGTTTTGGGTGCTGCGCCCTCGTGCATATCGACGCCTCTAGATGGGTCAGCCCCCCCCCCCCCGCCCCGCCTCACCGTCACGAGGACTGACAGGGAGGTCCGCGTCCGTGTCGACCGGTTCTGCCCCACCGCGCAGACCGTGTCGGGGTGCCGCCCACCGTGAAGACCGTGGTCAAGGTAATGCCTACCGCCGACTTGAAGGAGATCTGCGTCTTTTTTGGCACGAGGCAGAGCCGCTTCGTACCAGCTGGCTTCGTGGCTGTCAAGCCGCAAGCTACGGCGCCCGGGAAGAGTATGCGATCCAGCGGACCACCGAGGTCCAATGCACTTTCGGTTAAGCACGTCATCCTTCAATCTTAATTCATCTCAGCTTAGTCCAGTCATCCATCTCAGCTCAAGTGTGGCACCATTTTTACCATATGCCGTTTGGTCGCACTTGTTTGTGGGGTTGTTGGTCCAAGTAAACTTAACACGCTGCGTTCTAACGTTTTAGATACAGGGCGCCTCTTTTCGGAAGACGCGGGAAGCCTTAGCCTTGCCTAGCCTTCTGTGGTAGTCTAGCGTAGTCTGCGACGTACCCTTATTAAAATGCAAACATTAGCTCTGTCCATTTCCTTTAACACTGTATCTTAGCGGGCTTACCACCAGATTTAAATACGTTACAAATGTCTTTCATTGTAAATGTTCGATCTGTTTGTGAAGGTAAACATTGGTTTGAGCGGCCGTCTAGGCAGTGTCCGTATATTTAAGGTGGACTGAAATTCAGCTTTTAGACCAATGGCAGGCCCGTGGTCTTGTGACGTCAGAACTGCTTCAATATAACAGCGTTTGACAGCCATGGACCTCCGTATGACCGATTATTGTAGGCGACATCCCTGGGCATATAAGTGATGTATTCTCTCGTTGATAAGCTGCATCTTGTTGTCCTGTACCCCGAGTAATTCGGGTATTTTAGTAATAGTAATTCCCGTTCCGATGAACAGGAGCTGCCCGGCCGCTTCAGAGTTTGGCGATGTTGTCCGCTAGATCATGCGGAAAATTTGATTCGTTTGCCAGGAATAGCACCACCAAGTTGCGCAGTTGCCAGACAATTTAGGCCCATCCATGTGGAAGTCGCTGAGGAACAATGATGCAAGAAAATTCCCGGCTAGGGAACATGGCGTACATATCCGTTGTAAAGTAAGTCAACGCTACGCACAGAACATCTTGACCAGCCGAAATGCGACAGGCTGGCTGAATTTCCTGGTGTGGTGGTGAACACGCTGGGCCCTTGGCATCCTAAGCCCTTAATTCGCATTCTAGAAGCGAATCCAGATTTTCAGCAAAATCCACTTAACATGCTGTCAAGCTGTACAGCGGCCTGGTGACTAGCCAATGCACGGCTGAATTACTGAGGAACCAGGCACGAACATTCACAACAAGGACGTCCATCATCCACGCATTTATCTGTAACCGGGTGGGGGCAATGAAGAACACCCCGGCTGGCAGTGAGTGTCATAAATTAATCACATCGCTACAGC